CCGGAACAAGCTCTCTAATCGCTCTCTTTGCTTGTGATCAGTTTTTGTCCACTGCATGATCAGAATAAAAACAGTTTTTGCCTGCAGCACTATCTACGAAAATAGTGAGGCTGTAGTGAGAGTCTATAATTCAATTATGCGAGCACTAATTAAAAGCTTTTAGAATGGTTTTCAATTAAGTGTCATAAAACCAGAACCATACCAGTTACTTACCAATTAAACTACTCAGCCAATCTCAAACTGTAGTAAAACCAAAACCAAAATCAAAGTAACTGCCTGATTACTTTCGACACTCAATTAAAAACCACTCTATTAGCTTTGGTGCAACTTACCCACATCTATCCACTGCACACTCTTCACAGGTGCCGTGTGTCCATCAAATGTCAAATGACATGTACCTGTCAATGGAAATGCACAAATCCTTGAACAGAAGTTTGATAAGTCTAAACCATTGCTAGTGATGGCAGGTGGATTTACATATAATTTACCAATAATAAATATTTCATGGGTCAGCACGGGATGCTGGCCAGACACTACTTATATTATCATATTATATTATCATATTATCAGTTAATATAATATAAATTATAATTATATATTAAGTATTAGTATCAGAGGGACAGTTCTAAGGTAAGTAGTTGCTCTTGTATATATTGATGTCCTGATGTTTGTTTTGTATGCTAATGTCCTCCTAGAGAGGAAATAATTTTGAAATAAATTTTACCGTAAACCAGGTTAAGCAATGCTGAATAATACACTGAATAAAATTTCTCCTCCACTCCAAGTTAAGTAAATTAATGGCAAAATTTCTTATCTTACAACAACCACGTGAAATACAACAAGGAAAAAATTGATCTAGCTGTGATTGTGCCAAAAAGTACATTTTACAACATATTTCAACACTTTCTAAACTTTAAGCAACAATATAAATTACCATTAAAATCCCACATGTATGCATTTCCATCATAGCTGCCACTCAGAATACTGGTAAAATAGCATAATAAAAAAATGGTCCAATTTATAATTTTTATCACATAAATTTTATATTTAATGCATGCATATAGTTTTAAATAATAATTCCTTAAAAATATGCAAACTGGTTTCTGGCAAGACTATTAAAGGCTGAGTTAAGGTCTTAGGTGTAAATCATGAAAAAGAGAAAATTGAGAGAATACAGAAAAAAGTAGCGTTAAGATGTAAGTTCTTGTCATTGAAGCATTGAAACAAGCCAGCAAGTCCATAGAAAACAATAAAATCAAATTGGATTGAATCCACTGATTAAATTTAACTGTTTGTTGTGTTAACATACCACTTCTTGCACACGGCTATGGAGCTGATCCAGTCATCATGAAGAAGACAGTTATCTGGTCGTGGTGTGGGATGTTTCTCAAGATACTCTATTTCAACAACACTCTCCTGCAAAGGTAGCGTATTGCATTCATAAGGGGAAGCACTGTGTCAGTCTTGCCCAGTAACACAACAAAATGAACAGAACTCAAATCTACTCCTCTTGATAAAGAGTTTGGTATACTGGCCTGATGCCTCAATCATTAACAGCACACTGACACATGTTGAAAGTTTGAATTTTTAGCCATAGTATTCCAGATGTAATGGCCCTTCTTCATATCAAATTTACCAGCTTTTTCTTATCAACACATTAATTGAAGAAGGATGCTTCTGTATGGGGATCATTCTGTATGGGTATCATGTGGGTTGATCTAGCTCACTATGATCATATCAGTTATAAAAACATCCACATCCCAACATAAAATGCAGACAAAAACATATTCATTAATAATAAATAAAATTGCATTTACTTAATTTAAACCCAACAAAATAGAAGATGCTGATATCAAAAATGAATAATCAATTATATATTCTCTTCAATCTCCGTTTTTTCATATAGGAATTTTTCTTAACTTGACCTTGAGTTGACTGAGGTCACTCTTACAACCAACAAATGTTAATTGCTCTCACTTTCAAAGGTGTTTGGATGATTGTTCCTCTTTAGAACTTTACAGGCAGCAATTTTACCTTTGAATCTGAGCACATAGGAGAAATAAACTCACTGTTGAAATGTTGTAAAGTCTCATGTGTTTATCCAGTGTTTCTTGTAGGTAAATGCCATCAATGAGAAAATCAAACTGAAAATTCCTTTCATTTTCATCCTCAGATTCAGATACCTCTGATTCTGAAATCAAGCAAAAAAAATTTAAAACAAAATATCTCCCAAACTTTATTAGAAATGTGTTACTAATGCTTGAAAGCTGAAGAGGAGCAAGAAGGCAGGAGAGTCAGAAGTTCCCATGTTTTCCCTGTCCTTTCTTCCTCTAGTAGCTAATTCTTGTTCCCAGAGGTCATACTCCTTTCAGTCAGTGACAAGAATTGCGGGGCCGTCAGTAAGTTTTGAGTTACCTGTAGCCTTGTTCTCTATGCCCATAGCAAACTTGTTACTGTGTGGGCAAATTCTATCAATAACAGGCAATTTCACCTGTAGCACCAAGGAAAAATCAAGCATATTCAGCCACAACAGGTGTTATGGGTTATGGTCCCCTTAATGACAGTCCTAAATTATGACCTCTTGGAAGTTCTAACACTGAAGTCCTTGATGCATGAACTTCCAATCATATCTGACAAATCAGATAAGCTGTGAATACAAAATGAATACTCTACGCATGCTCAGAAAACCAGGTCTGGCCAGAGGTCACAATGATTTGTGCTGACCAAAAGAAGCTTGCATGCCTCAGGGGACAAGAATGCTAGTAGCCTTATCATCCCCTTTTGAGGCCCTATTTCTAGGGGTTGCAAGATACAGGATATTTGGGTAAAAATTAACTGGATACAGAACATTTAAGAAAAATTAATAGGATATGGCATAATAAATTGCACTGTTTTATTAGCTCAATGTTCGACCACATGTGCTAATGCCACATGTGTAGCAATCTATATATGTATCAAATCACAATGTCAATCACGTGCCTCAGTCCATGACAAATATAGATATATTCATAGTCCCAGGTTAACAGACAAAGAATTATACTTCAGTAGTGTCCCTTGATCATCTAGTTGGCGACAGAAAAGAATATCTATATGTACCCTGAGGACAATCTGAGTATTATATTAATTAAGCCTTTATGCATACTTACCATTTGACAACAGCAAGCTACTGATGAGTTCATTCAGCTCTTGAGACCCAAGTTTGACAGGCACAGAGAATGGCGTTTCTGGAACTGAATAACTGTGAATGAAATTTGTTGATTTTATCTTGTAACACTCCGAAGTAGAACCACTCCCAAAATGTCATTTGGTACATAACGTAAATGAATTGTATATGTATTTCTCAGCAACTTGTACTATTATGCTTTTGCGTGACCTGATGAACTACTGAGCTTTAATTATAATTGTGCTTAAATAAAGGTTGTCTGTCTGTCAATCTGTCTGCCTGTCTATTTAATTTCTACCCAATTATTTAGCACTAGATCTTGCATAAATTTAGCAAGATCAGAAAAGTTTTAGACATATCCTTGCCATTGATTTTGTCTGAACAATAATCATAACCACATATGCTATAAGAATTTCAGTGCATATACAGAAAGTATCGATGTATTCTAAGCTTATTTTACATTTTCAAGGTGACCATCTGGCGAATTTGCATTTCATAGCAGGATGCATGACGCATTCAGTTATATTTTGTCTTTACATGTTAGGTTCAAGTTCAAGTTCAAGTTCATTTCACAATCATACTCAGAAAATGTTCCTTTAATTCAATCAACAACGTAGCTACGTGGCTGCTGTGCTCTGGTACACTCCACGTGCCCCGAACAATAACAACAACTAATATATAGATTTAGGCCAGCCTAAAAGCGTAGCTCCTGGGCCGGGTTGTTCAAAGCCCGATTAAGCTAACCCAGAAAAAGGTAGAATTTTGA